TATATATATATAAAAACGCAAATTTTATTCACAGATGATTATTAATAAAAACACAATATTGGAAGCCAAAATAATCAGTACAAACTTACTTTTTTAAAAAAGGTAAAAAAAGATACTAAGAAAATGTGCTTCTCGAATAAAACCTAAGTATTCAATCCAATTAATAGTAGTTTTAATTTTCCTTCGAAGATATTTTTTATTTAATGTCTTTTTATTCCAACCCAAGAAATAGCAAGTTTAATTCTCTGTCAAAAATTATTACTCTTCGAAAAAAATTAATGTATCAAATGAAAAATTAAAATTCAGATGTTACAATCTTAGATTAATCAAGTTAAATTCTATCAAATTAATAAATAAGTAAAACGCATGTAGTTACTATCTTTTGTTACTTAACTCTAATGATATTATTTATATAAAAGATTTGATATCAACAAAATTGGTAAGTTAAATTCCACATAATTTATATATTGTAAAAAAGATTTGATATCGACAACTGGCGCCAACTTAAATTCCATATCAAATTAAGTAAAGAATACAATTCATAATTGCGTTACTTTGCCCATTCAAGTGTTACCATAAAAAGTTAAAGAAGTAAACACTTAGCGCTGCTAAATCACGGTAACATAGTACTAAAAACCTGAACGAAAAATAAGAAAAATGAAAAACATTTCCATTAGAGTAAAGTATCTAGCGTAGGTATATTTTCGATTGGGTTCAACAGTCATATAAGTTACGAAAGTTGTGCAAACTATTAGGTGTAAGTTTAAGATAAATAAATTTGGATTTATAAGAATTGCGTTATAAAAAAGAAAAAAGAAATAACTAATAAACTCTATTTTTATTTAGTGTAAAAAAAACATTCAGATTAAATTTATTATTACATTAAAATTATTATTACATGTAATTATCTTTCATTATTTATTTCTTTAACTGCTATTATAATTTTTAAATTGCTTTTATAGTTTTTATTATCCAGTAGCGCCAAGTATTTATTTTAACTTTTTAGTGATAACATTTGAATGGATAATGCAATGATGAATACTTGAATGGAACGCAATTATGAATTATTATATATTCTTTACTTAATTTAGTATGGGATTTAAATTGACGCTGTAAATATCAAATATTTTATACAAATAATACATATCATTAAAGTTGATATTATTTATTTAATTTGTATCCAAATTTAGTAGGATTTAACTTCGCCAATTGTCGATATCAAATCTTTTTTATAATACATAAAATTATATTATAATACATAAAATTATGTGGAATTTCACTTATCGCCAATTTTGTTGATATCAAATCCTTTATACGAATGATATATATCATTAGAGTTAAGTAACAAAAGATAGTACCACTTGCGTTTTACTTTTTAATTTGATAGAATTTAACTTGATTAACTAAGATTGAAGCATCTGGGTTTTAATTTTTCATTTGATACATTAGTTTGTTCGAGGAGTAACAATTTTTGATAAAGAATTAAAGTTGCTATTACTTGGGTTGAAATAAAAAGATCTTAAATCAGAATATCTTTGAAAAAAAAATTAAAACTACTATTAATGGGTTGGATACTTAGGCTCAAGTTCATTTTCTTAGCGCCTTTTTTTATCTTTTTTTAAAATGATAATTTTGTAGAGATATAAGAATATACACGCGCCAACTTAAATTCACAACGTAATCAATACAATATTTGATTTACAATATACTGATGATCATATTTGGATTTTTGGTATTCTTGCAGGGAATCCAATAAAAGCGGTGCGTTGATGGATAAAGAGTTCCTCGAAAGAAACTCATTACTCACTGATCTCTTCAACATCTCGCATATTCGCGCGGTTTATAATCTATTCATGGTGACTTTCATACTTCTCTTTCTTAACACTATTGCATGCGATATCATGGAGTCTGGAAGGTAAGTTAGCAACGGAAATCTGATTCGCATCCCCTAGAAAATCATCGATTTTCTTGATAAATATAAATATCGTTTTATAAGTATGATATTTGAAAATTAAAAAATATTTATTTTTAAAAAATAATATAATAATACAGGTTCAAATAATTTATAAAATTAATAATAGAGCTACAAGCCAAGCAAGATCTTAATGCTGTGTTATTAAAAAATTTATTACAAAAAAATGTTTAAATTGGGTTATTCTCAATATTAATCTTGATATAATTTGAAATCAACTACTTATTAAGAAAGATAGTAACTTGAAGAAACACATAATATGATTAAGATAGTAATTGTAATAATATATATAGTAATTGTAACAATATAATTACTATCTTAATCATATTATATGTTTCGTCAAGTTATTGTCTTTCAAATGAATAATTGATTTCAAATTGTATCAAGATTAACATTAAGAATGATTCAATTGGACTTGAAACATTGTCAAGATTAACATGAAAAGAATGATTCAATTGGACTTGAAACATTGTTATAATAAATTTTTGTTTTTTAATAACACAGCATTAAGACTTTATTTGAGTCGTAGCCTTATACTTATTATTAATTTTATTTATTTTTATTTAATTTTATTTATTTTTAACATTTATAATATTAGTTGAATAAATATTTTTTAGTCAAAATTTAATTTTCCTTTAATTTATAACACACTTTGATCTTAAACCAAACTAAGTTCTTATTGAGTTTTTAAATATTTTTAGTCTCAGATTTTTAAATATTTGATAATAATATTCTTGAGACTTCCACGGGTGCTTTCTATATAAAGATTATACGTTTCGAGTTTCCTTCGTGTCCAGATTCATTCTTGGAATGCCAACGTTTTGTGAACCTTGTAGTCCACTTCATCAGAGCTGATAATGCTGATTGCGTGACGTGTTTTAACCTAATATTACGTTGATGTTCTTTTATTCTCCGTAGATTGACCATTCTCCCAGTATCTCCAATGTATATTTGCTCGTAGGAAAGTATTTTGTACACTCCTGAGGAGTTGAGTGGAGATCTTTGATCTTTAGAATTCGTGCAATCAGCATTATTAGAACATAACATCGAAACAGGACATCAAATATTGTTTAACAAAACGACCACAATAGCTAACATTACATTATACTTTCTAACAAAGTGTAGAGAAGCCATACAGATACAAAAACACCCTAACAGTCTAAATAGAGATAATGGCTACAACTTAAATAAAATATGGAAAACTATTCTCCCGGTTATTAAGACTAACCGATTTCTTCCACCTAACTTATCGGAATCGTATTTATTTTCTGATTATAAAATATGATGTACATTATCGGGAATGAAGAAAACGATATAGGCACTTTAATATTGCGTTTGAAAAATTACTCGTAATAAAGAACGATACATAAGATATCTACACTGAAAAAAAAATTTTAATTTTAAAGAAATATTTCTTTGCTCGCATTGAAAAAAAAAAAATTATTATAAATAAAAATTATTTCTTTGGATCAAAATTATTTCTTTGGATCAAAATTTCTTTGAAAATAAGATATTGTACAATATATTTATTTTCATTGATCCAAAGAAATAATTTTTTTTAATACGAGCAAAAAAATATTTTTTTTCAAATTAAGATTTTTTTTTCAATATACTCATTTATTACTAAGTGCAATGAACCTTCGTTGAAAAAAACTCATTAATAAATTAATTATTAGACAATTAATTACTTAATTTCCGCGACATATTTGTTTCCTTTGATTCTTCAGTTTAATTTCCCTTTTTTTAATTATTGATTCTTAAAGGATTCGCGTTGGTACCAACACGATAAGGATTGGTTTCGCAAAGTTTCCAACGTGTATTTATATTTGGTCGTTCATGCAAGTCTCAACATTTGGTCTCTACGCGGCTTTTACTCTCTGGATGTACCGGCGACAACAGTTCTTACCAAAATGTAACGATTTTTTCGATCAATTCAAGTTTAGATAAATGGAGGCTTAATTTAAACATTATGAAAGTTAAATTAATTGAGAAATTTAAAATTAAAAAGTCATTTAGTTTAAAAAATAGTTTAATAAAAAAATAGTTTGAAAAATAAAATTTTAATTTTTTAAATAAATCTTCTTTTTAATGTAACATAATTATTAATTAATTAAATTAAAATTATCTTATAACAACGACATAGTGCAAGAATAATTAATCGTAATAATTCTAAAAGTTGTTAGACAATATTAACTGATTTTTATTAGACAAGAGAAAGGTCCCTATTATGAAATATGAGACAGCGGCGTTTCTGCTAAGCTAATAAACTTATTTGTTGGTTTTCACCAATTATTGCTCTTAGGTTGAAAACTATTAAGTAGAAAATGATTTAATAAAGTATTAAATGTTGTCTGTAGCACTGAACTATATATACTGGAATAGGCATCGAACCATATTCGTGGCCACTATTGATCAATCGCCATTTTAGTTGGGACGATATTTGAGCAAATCAAAAGCGTTCGCGCACGCGCACTGCGATCGATGTATCGATCGATGTACTATCGATGTATGGAATTTATATGGACTTGATGGTATGTAAACAAAAATAATGTCACTTCAATTTTATTAGTACATTCAATAAAATAACATTAATAACACTTTTCATATCCTACATCGTTAATACATGTGCAGGAATTGATATATTTAATACAAAAATTCTTACCTATAAAATGAAATGCCCTTTTTACTTCTCTACTCGCATCCACGCACACAGCATTTCATGCTGTGTTTCATGTTGATGCTTTGCACATTTTACAATCACGCGATTTTATGATCTTTCAAAGTAATCTTTCAAATATAATCTCACGATGATCTTGCTGACATATGCGTCTCACTAAAGAATATTAAAAATGTACATACTTGAAAGCTTCTTATTCGCTCTTATATTGATTAAATCAAAATGACGCTGATCAATTGATGCCACAATTTTCTATGCTTTACAGCAGAGATGCCCATTCCAGTGTATATATAATTCAGTAGCCTGTAGTAGTTGTAAAAAAAATTTTACAATTTGATGTCTTCAAGTTTCATTGAAATGAATCTTTAAACCTTGTTTATAAATAAGTAAATATATTTGGCAATAAAATCTTTATAGTGATAGAGTGAAATCGTAAATAATAAAAAAATATAGAGCATGTTGAATTGCTTAATTACAGAAGTTAAATTTGATAATGGTAAAACCATAAGGAATTTGTAATATGCTCGGAGTAGTTCTAATACGAAGTCACATATGTTTTTATATTCGAGTGACAATTATTGCTAAAGTATGAATATCATTGTACAGTGATAAAAAGGATAATCAGAATGAATATTGAGTGCCTGTTTCTACTTAGTTCCAATTACCTAAAGATAAGTCCTGGATACAATAAATCGCATGCTCATTTTGTGCACATCAACTGTGTTTGTTTATATTTTGGAAACATTAAATTGAGTTTTAATTGCAATACTGATGTACTTTGCGCTTTATTATTTATTTCTCGAGGTATCTTATATTATAAGCACAATTTTTTTACTTTGCGATTTGTTTACTTTTTACACTACTTTAATTTCAAAAAAAAATAGTATTTGAACTAAATTTTACATAACAGTCTTAAGGCTTATTAAATTTTTTTTTAAGTGACCTATTATTTTTTTAAATTCTGCTCATATATTTCCAGAATTTATAAAATAAATTCGGTATCTCATAATAGGAATCTCTTCTCTATTAACTAATTCAAATAATTCAACTATATCTTTTTTTTTGCAGCCTTCCTCCAAAAATTATGGGATTACAGCTGGCTATCAATATTTATATTGTATCAAATTCTTTTTATTATTTTTCCTATTAAGGCGATGCTTGGTGCGAATCTTCCCATATGTTGTAGACTGATTGTTCTAATGGAACAAGTACGCAATTTTTCAAATCTGTTTATAGCGTCTTAAATTACGACTTTAGAAGCGGAATGTGAATTTCTTTTTTACAAAATTTTATATATTTAATAGTAAAAATAAATAAAACGACAAACAAAATAAATAAAATGTTTTCTTCTTATTGTTGAAGACATTAATGAAATTTATTTCCAAATGTGTTTGAACAATTCACATAAATAAAATATTTTTTATTATTTT